AGACGGGGCTCTTTACTCCGGGCCACAGTTACGTCGCGGACACCCCGGGGTCGGCCTGAGCAGACGTCCACTCGGGTCTGGTGTTTGCTGGGGGGCTGTTTTCGGAGTGATTGTGGACTTCATGTTCGGGGATGGCCACCAATGACAGGAACCCCACTTCCCGCCACCCCAAGAGAAGCCCCTGTTGGCTGGGGCAGCTGAGGGGACAGGAAGTGTGCCCTGGCCAGCCCACGAGTGTCCTTGAACGCCCAGCTCCCACCTTCGCTTGACCTCTGGAGAGGCCAGCAGGAGCCCAATGGGGAAGTGTTCACATTCCACAGGCCTCGGGGGCTCGGGGGCAGGCCCGCAGGACTGGTCGGTCAGGAGGTGGGGCCAGGAAGTGTGCCCTGGCCAGCCCACGAGTGTCCTTGAACGCCCAGCTCCCACCTTCGCTTGACCTCTGGAGAGGCCAGAAGGAGCCCAATGGGGAAGTGTTCACATTCCACAGGCCTGGGGGGCTCAGGGGCAGGTACCCCCGCAGGACTGGTCGGTCAGGAGGTGGGGCGGGCAGGTGGGGCCAGGATTGCTGACTGGTTGGCTCAGAGGCTTCTTAGTGGGGCAGCCGAGGCCTGTCTGGGTCAGTACCAACCAGGCGCCGATCACTGGCACTGGCCAGCAGGGCTGAGGAGCAGGGGTGGGAGGCTGGGAGGGTCATTTCGGCTGCAGAGGCTGGACCATCCACGGAGCTGGGGGGCAGAGGGGCCCCTTCCAGGCGTGACCATGTCCCCACTGCCTCCCTGTGCCCCAGCGCTGCCCCCTGCCCTCCCCAGAGACACACTGCCCGCTCCCCTCTGAAGATGAAGCATCACAGTTGCCCGGCCAGCGGGGCCTGGGGCTTTCTATCAAAAGCTGGGCTCCGGGTGGGGGTGGGGGTGCGACACAAGCGCAGGGGGCCTGTGGGTGGCGATCGGGCACAACCCCAGGCCAAATTCAGTGCCAGGGGACCACAGTGACCCTGCTGGACAGGTCAGAGCTGCCCCTGTGGGTTTCCCAGGCTTTCAGTCTGCTTGGAAACAGATAGCTAGCTAGCTAGCTAGATAGATGATAGATCAATCGATAGATTGATAGATGATAGATAGATGATTGATAGATAGATAGATGATAGATCGATTGATCGATAGATAGATGATAGATAGATAGATCGATTGATAGATGATAGATAGATAGATGATAGATCAATCAATAGATTGATAGGTGATAGACTGATAGATAGATGATAGATTGATCGATTGATAGATAGATGATAGATCGATCGATCGATAGATGATAGATAGATAGATGATAGATAGATCGATCAATAGATGAGATAGATAGATGATAGATAGATAGATGATAGATAGATAAACACACTGCCATCGAGCGGCCTCCTATTGCTCCCTCAGAGAGACCGTTGGTTGCAAACTGCTGACCTTGCGTCCTTCAGCCCAACGCTAGCCACCGGGGCTCCGGCAGGGCCAGAAGGTGGTGGATTGTCAGGGGAGAGAGCCCCTCACACATCATCACGGCCCGGTGGGCACCACTGTACCGCGATAATAAGTGAAGATTATAGTGATGTCATCGAGAGCATCAGAGATTGAAGAGAGATTGGAATCGTGGGGTCAGACACAGCTCATGGCAGCAATGCCCACCCCAGCCTCACTTGGCGGTCCACGTGGAGAGAGAGAGATTTATTGGTAACCGAGGTTTTTATATTCTCTGGGGACGTGCAAGCCCCCTAATTACAGGTGAGGACATACGTCACAGGAAAGGGTTGTGCTGTAAGCGAACAAGGGGGGATCAGAGCAGAGACCCCAAGCCCACCTGCAGACAAGGGGCGCCCCTCACAGCAGGGCCTCAAGGAAGGGAGGAGTCACCCAGGGCGCAGCACAGCACCCACAAAACACACCATGCTCCTCTGGTCCCTTGACGCTTCCTCGCCCCCCACTGACCACCCCAGTGCCGCCTTTCACTGCGCTGGACCGGAGCGTGCGCACAGGTGCAGGTGAGAGCTCAGGGCCCACGGAATGCAGGTCAGAGGAACCCTCAGGGGCAGAAAGGGGAGAAACCAGACCAGGTGGGGCAGAATGGGGGAGCCAAACACCGTGACCGACAGCGGTCGGTGTAAGATATGAAAATAATCATAAGTTATCATTGATCAAGGGGCCACGAGGGTGGGAGGGAGGGGGAAAGGGCGCTGATACCAAACAGAAAGCAAATGCTTAGAAAATGACGATGGCAATTTATGTGCCGATGGACTGGATACGATGGATGATGGATCGTGATATGAGCTGGAAGGGCCCCCCAATAAGCCCAGGACTGGAGCTGAGGGGTGAGGGGTCTCCCCAGAGCCACAGGGACCATCCTGCCACCCCGGGCCCTGGAGGCAAGGCCCCACAGCCAGGCCAGCCAGGCAGGATGCTCCCAAGTCCTGGGCCCCCCACCCACGACAGTGTCCTGTGGGAAGCAGGATTTCTCCCAAGCCGTCTCCCCCAGATATATGCCAGGCTTAGCTGCTTGCAAATGACTGTACACTTGGGGGTCATCAGAAGTAGATCAGGGGTCATTCTCCCTGAGAGCTATCAGCTGTCTGGAGCAAACAGACACCACTGTTTATCCCACAACAAGCAGGGCCCACTCCCTTCTGATAAGGACAGTAGTTGTCTGTTTCCTTGTAGGAGACCCCAGAGAGGTCAA